CTCCCTCTACTCTGTACGGCCACGCTTCAGAGAGAGGTAAAGGAGCTAGGGATCAGGCTAGCAAGAAACCTCTGGAATACTACACTCCCAGTTCTTTATAAGGACCTAGGCCTCTGTACCTGGTTCTTGAAGCCCAAGTCTCTCCAGTTACCAAGAGAGGCCCTCGCTCGCTTAATCGCTGCTCGTTCTGGACACGGAGACTTTACTGCCTACCATCTTCGCTTCTTTCACTTCGACGCGCTACTCAATTCAGGGAACTGTAAGTATAGGAAGGCCAAGACCCAGTTCCACCTACTCTTTTGCAAGCTAGCAAACAACAAAGCCCCTAAGCTATTAGCAAAGGCTGAGAAGAACCCTCAACTGCTATTTGGATCTCACTGCGCGGAGCCATTTAGCCAGGTCTACTTTAAGACCGGATTCTACACTAAAATCTGTCTCTCTAGATAGACAGGCCTTCTTTTATTTCTCTTTTCTTTTTTCCTTTTATTAAATATCTCCTTTGTTGTTACCCTGGTTCTAGAACTACTTAAGGATAAGAGCTGTTCCGAAAGTGGAGCTTCTCTCTAAACTGTCTCTTGTAAATTAGCTCTTTCCGTTTACACCCCCGTAGCCTAGGGCACCCCCCTAGCGTCATTTGCCCTATTTTGGGACTCTTTAGGACCTAGCCCACGCGAGCTAGAATCCGCTTGACGTTAAATAGAAAGAAATAAAAAAATATATAGTATGTCAATATCTGCCACTGATCGTACGGGACTTCTCAACCTTGCTGGAATTTGGACTGCTGCTTCTATCTTTAAAGTACGTCTCAGTGTATCTGGCCTTTTTGTTGCATATCGCATCCTTTCGTCCTCAGACCAGGGCTTTCTCCTCCTGGTCGGACTTTCGGCCTCAGACCAGGAGGACGACCTTGGTTCGACCTTTTGTTGCATGTCGTATCCTTTCGTCCTCGGACCAGGACTTTCAGCCTCAAACCAAGAGGACGACTTTAGTTGGATCATCCTTTTATTGCTGTTGGTATAACTTGGTGGGATAACAAGGGCATATAGGAGATGCCATAATAGGTACGAGATAGTTACAAAAGTAGACGACAAAGGGCAAAAAGTAGTATTAGTAGTAGATAATTGATTATCTGTCGGTTACGTGGAATCCAGGTGTATATATAGCCCTAAATTATCACGTGAATAAATACGTGAATATATCGTAACAGTTGCATATCTTATTCTTTTGTAGACCAGCACGACCTGAGTTGCTCCCTTTGTGATATCTTATATCCTTTGTCCCCAGACCAGGATGACTATAGTTTGTCTCTTTTGTTATATATCGCAACCCGCGCAAGACCTCAGACTGTAATTTTACTTCAAAAGGACTAGAACGTTCCCGACACCCTTTTCCTAGGGAAATTCTACAACTAACATTCTTCTCAATATACAATGCTCCTTTATCTCTGCTCCCTTACTGTACCTTCCGGAACCAGTTGGGGTGGACAAAAAGGTAATAGTAAATAGCTTGTTCTTCAAAATACTTAGACCAATTCTTGAGAACTTCATATCTCTAAAACAACATAAAAGGTGAGCTCTGCTTATATAACAAGCTCAAAGGTCCCAATATGCAAATATACGTTCAGATGGCTGTGTGAAGTGATCTTGAAAAGTTACGTAATTACAAGTTTCTTATCGATCAAAGCCACTTTTGGAATAGACCCACAAGTTACCAGCAGCTCATTCCCTCTGGTGAGATTAATCTCGCTTTTGGTCCCCTTCAAACTTCTTTAGCGATCATTCTGTGAGACAGAGACTCATACCTAATACATATTACCTTTTCAAAATACTGGGCTTTCATGGCTCATTTTCGCTGTCGGGTGGCTGTTGAGTGAGAGCTATGAAATTTGCAAGTACAGTGGTGGAGAGCCTTCAGGCAACATATCTATTCAGATTTCTTAAAGCAGTATTGTCAGCCGTACTTCAAAGCTCTTGAGATGGCTTTTGCTGGGTGAGTAGTTCTGGTGTTTTGCTTTGCTGTCTATACATCTCATAATGGACATGTATCTGGTGAATTGACTTTCTCGTTCTCTCAAACATATGAAAGACAAGTTAGCTTCTTCCAGGTCACATTACCATCAAGCGTGTGAACGTGCTTTTGGCCATTCTACGAGAGCATAAGCTTAGTAAATACCGATGCCCTTTATACAGTGAATAGCGAAATACTCTAGTATGACTCAGTAGTGTGTGATAGAAGGGGTATGTGACAGGGGGTTTGTTTAATGATATAGTAGCTAGCCTTTGAATCTCTTTGATCCTCCTAAACAACCTTACGCCCCTAGTTATACCCGAACGTATTATTAGGTCCTGCAAAGAGCAACACCTGGCTCCTCTCTAGCTTGTCTCTAGCTTGGCCTAGTCTTGTATCCTTTTTCCCACCTCATCTTACTACGTTCACCAGCACCAGCGGTCATAGGACAGACACCCTAAAGGTAAGTCTTATGCTTTTGTTGCCATCAAGACTCAAGAGCACAAAAGGGAAGTAGCTCACCTCTTTCATAGCAAACCTTCAAACAACTACTTCACGAAATAACCCGACCTGGTGGAAACATTCAAGGTTGTACCTTGACATGCCAAATTCCACACTCCATATCAGCATAGGCATCTGAAGGGTCAGCAACCACAGTCATGAATAATTTCGGCAGCGTTACAAAATTCCCTGCTTTCCCAAAGCTACAAGCAGAAATTCGTCTACAGATTTGGGAACTTGTCTGCGCCTTTGAGAGAGATGTATTCGTTGGCGCCAAATTTATTTACGATATGGATCACAATGAAGTGCAATTTCCTGCTGAATATGGTGGTACTGAGCCGCTCTTCAAATACATAACTGATTCTCCACCACCAGCTCTTCTTCATGTCAACCAAGAAGCCCGTTCCGAAGGCCTCAAGAATTATATCCTTGCGTTTGGTGTCACTGTTAAGTGCCAGGACTTGAAGTTCCAAGCGATGCCTAGGATATACGTCAACTTCCAGGTTGATCGTATTTGCCTCAGCAGTTGGTTGGGTGACTTTCAAGGCTTGCAAGGACCTTGGACTTTACTACTTGACCAACCTATCCGTCGCCTTGCTGTCCCATGGGACCTGGACTTCGCTTCATTCAATATGTGCAGCCGTTCTGGTGATCTAGCTCTTATCAGCTCCTTCGCCAGAGGTATTGAGGAGTTCACGTTATATGGTCCCGCGATAACGACTGGTGGTTGTCAACATCTTGGTGGTTCACAAACTGAGATTCAGAGGGAGATGCCATTCTACTATTGGGTCTTAGGTGGCAGTTTCCTTCAGGATTGGGTAATCAGAGCCGTGGATCATCCATGGCAGTTGGGCCACCCAATCGAACTTAATATAGATAATGTATGGAAGATGGCCAAGTTGGCAATGGGAGGCCAGCGTGCAACCATTAAAATTCCTTCCTATTGTGAAGACCTGCCTGGCCATGAGTTGGTGGTGCCAGTCTTGAAGATTCTTGAACACACGGAGGGCGACGCGGATCGTTAAGCTCACAATGGCAACCTGTATGGGTTCTATGTTCCATATTAACGGGGCTTTATTTCAACCTTCAGAAATACGAGCGGTTGAGAAGCAACGACAGCGATCTCAAGGGGTCCATGAAGGATGGACGCGAGTTGTTTTGAGCCATGTTCATCAAACGGGTCATGGTTAGGATTAGGGATGATTTGTGCCACCACTACTCTCACTATCTTTCAAGTATACTGCAGAGATAGTAGTCAATAAATCAAGTCACTGAATAAATGCATTCCACGTGTTTCCCTCGTGATTGTAAGAAAATGAATCTGAATCATCCCAACTCTTACGCCATTATGCCAGACAAACTTTCGCGATGATTCTGGCTATTCACCTCCCACCAAGGTAGTGACATAATGTGCTTGGAGAGCAGTACAAATAGCTGACCCTATGTTCTACTGAGCTGCAATCTCGTACCTACTTTCATACTTCCAACAGGTTCCGAGAAGCTACATTTCCATCATTACAACGACATACTCTGACCATCCCATTCTGACTCTCGGTTCGCCATCAGCTCCTGTGTCCTCCTAGATCACCGACATGTAAGTATACTTCGGCAATAGTAGCTGTTTATCGTGCAATGACTTGGCTCACTTCTTCGGTAGCAATCCTTTCAGCTTTGGGCCCTTTACTTGCTGACGCCACCACGAAAACGGTCTTCGACACCTCGTAATACAAGCCTTCTCAAAACCGACTATCCCGTCATCTTTACCGCCCTTCAATCCATTCTCATGGCGTCTCAAATTATCGATGCCACAGCTGGTGGCGACTGCGCGACGGAGTTCACCTGTTTTCCTAGGCTTCCCACCGAGTTGCGCCTCAAGATCTGGGGGATTATTTGCAATACTGGTAGGGATCTATGGATTGGCGCGAAGTACTACAGGAATACCTCCGACTATAGCAAGCTATCCGAGGATGAGAAAGAGGACACGTATTTAGTTTTCAGATACTATACGTTCTCTCTACCTCCTGCCGTACTTCATGTCAACCATGAATCCCGATTCGAAGGCCTAAAGTACTATACCCTTGCTTTCGGTTCTGGCTACAAGTCCGCTGGCCAAAAATTCGAGACAACTCCTCGAACATACGTCAACTTTCAAGTCGATCGCATCTGCCCGCATGTCAAGTGCATGACACTGAATTGTACGCCCTGGGGACTAATGGTTAGACAACCCATACGTTGCCTCGCTTTTCCCTGGCATCGTCGAGACGATTCTAATAATTACTTCCATTTCTTTGCTATGATGGCTCAAGGGATTGAAACACATGCCGCTCCATTCTTCTTGAAAAATATCGAGGAGTTTACATTGTACGATCCAGAAATATTGAAAGGTCCTACAAAAGACCTACCGAAAGAACAAAGTCAGGAGGCAATGTCTTTCACTTTTTATGATTTATGCTATGCAGTTCTTGCTACATGAGCATGCGAGTCTATTTATTATCCCATCGACGACGAGAGCTGCTGGCAGGTGGTCAAGGGAACATTGGGCGGACTGCGTAAGACCGTTGTCGTAAATGGAGAGCGAGATGGACCACCGCGGCGGAGATGTTTCAATTCGCTACCATCACCACCTGCAGAACAAAAGTTGAAGGTGCCGGCCGCGAAGATTGTCGAGTTGAATGAGGGAAATGCCGAGAAGTATGTCGGGGTCACAAATCTACCGATTTACGAGAAGCTACGTGCTCGGTATTCTGAGAAGTCTAACTTGTAAGGTGTGGCTGCGGTAGAGCGGTTACGTTTCAATTGGGCTATACAGAATTATGTACGATAACTAGAAGTATTTTCAGGCAGGGACTGGAAAAAATGAACACTAGATTTCTTCATTCTTCTTTACACTCATAGATAATCTTGGGAACTTTGTGTACGTTGAGTATGTAGTCGTAAATGCAACTGTTATAAGTAGAGCAAAGATGATGTTACTTGATACTAAGATAAGTCACTAACTAAGCCAAGAGAATAAATCTTTCGTTAGAAGGGGTGCCAAAAAAATGTAATAGCCAAGCGGTCAGGGGTTTTTAGAGGGAATACTTACAAGAAGTTACAGCTTTTGGTGGAGAGATTTTTTTGGTTACTCCATCAGAGGGACGATGTTCAAAGGAACATCTGTTTTGGCGGTGTTGTCGGATCGTGGTTTCTACCATGGTTTCCCCATGGTTTCCGCCCCGGCGAAAGGCTGTTCAAAGGAACAACTCAGCAACAGCACCTGCTACTCTTACTTTGGTGAGTGTTCAAGTGTAAAGGCCCCATAAATCAGTGCAGTTCTGGGAAAGGTCGAGAAAGCTTGATAGTTTTTGTTCATCCAGGCTGGCAAATAGTAGTTGTCTAGATACAATGTTAGCAATGAATTGTCGTTACTCTGTTCGACCGCTTGGCTATTGGTCTTGATTGTTGGGATACAGGTTTCCTATTTCCAATTATATAGGGTTGTGGGAGAGAGTTGGGTGGCTGGCTTCAGTGTGCCGAAAATTGGGTCCGAAAAATAACTGAGACGACCCATGGGTGAATGAGGTTGTAGCTTTGTCACTTTGCGACACTGAAACCAAATGAACATAACTTAGGGTGAAGATTATAAAGCTTCATTGAGACAGATTTATTATTTCCTTCTAAAAAGCTTTCTGCTTTCATAACTAAGAAAACCTCAAATTTTATTCTAGCAATGCTCGCTAATTTTTGTTGAACCCTTTTCTAACAGGTTCTGCGAATATTTACAACCCATCAGATTAATTTTTGCAGGAGCGTCTAGAAATTGATATCGCTGAGTGCTCACAAAAAATATACAGCTAAGTGGCGTAAGATTTCCTTAATAGCAACCATGTTACATATTTGGAAAATATCTATTCCACCATAGAGGCCACATCCTACAATAAGGCGTGCGCACCAAATGTAGGTTTGATTAAGGTGCAGCATCTCAGAAATTCTGCTGTAGGTTGCGCACAAGCGATTGTGGACTTAGCAATGACACGTACTTTTGGTCTCTGAACATTGCCAATGATGAATTAGCAGAATGCGTCCAGACAGAACTAATGGAAGTAATGGTTTTGTTGGTACGACCTGGTGGTCGTGACGACGGCGAATACGGGATTCTGATCACCCTCTGTTGGGGTAACTAAATCGGTGTATTCATTTGTTCGTGAAGAGTAAAGGTAGAGAGAGGTGGTACTCTACGAGCTTAAGTATGTGAGTGGCAAGCCACTCACATGACACCAAGCATGTAGAACCACCAGGCTCTCGTACGAGGTGCTAATCACTATAATTATATACCGACAGGTTTGTTTTGAGTTCTTTGCCCTTAACAAATGAGTCAAAAATGTTATAACCTCCCGTAATCAGAGATTCCCTCTAGCTGCCACTGCACCTACTCTATTTTGTCAACATAGTGATTTTTATTCTACTTTCCTAATATTAGCCTGAACAGGTATACGTCCAAACAAGTGGCTGCTGACACCCAGATATACAATCCTTTGTATTTTTAAAGGCTTCATTTGGATAATATTCGGAGGTAGAAATATTCTTGCGATAATATCCCTCTACTCATTTGGGGCGAAGTACGTGGTCCACGCCAAGTTTTAGCAAGTCTTATTCTCTGAAGCCCCTTTTTAAGCGAAACAGGGTTGAAATTTGACCACGAGTATTACTCCATGACTCTTATGAAATTGAATGTATATTTTCCTTTCAAAATCTAGATCCATTTCTCAAGTTATACAATTATTCTGATTTAAATCCTCAGACTTGGAAGCAATTATCGGCACGTAAAGTAGATAAGTTTTACACATATTATCTCAAGCTTATATAGAAGTGAAAAGCAATAACGTCAGTCTTGTGAATATATCCTACTGTAAGATCAAAATTTTTGAGCATTCAAGGTTCAGCATTTGGAATACGATTCCAAGGATTCCAAGATTCCATTACAAGGTGGAATATTCCAAAGGCTCCTCCATTTGGAATAGAATATTCCAAAGGATAAGGCCTTGGAATATGGAATTCCAAATTCCATATATATATATATAACGTGGTTTATCAGCGAGTCGATCATATCACCGAGTCGATCACTTTTCCTTGGCACTACCTCCTCAAACTTCAACACACGTTTTCTTCAACTATTTACCATGGAAATTCAAACTCAAGAAGCGCGAATTACTCTAGCTATCGAGGCTATTCGGTCGTCCAAAAAACTAAGCAAACGCTCTGCGGCAAAGATCTACAATGTACCATATACGACTCTTTCCGACAGAATGGCTGGCCGAACCTACCGCCCAGATTCTCAAGCCAATTGTCATAAGTTGACTGAGTTAGAAGAGGAAGTGATTATTCGGTATATACTGGATATGGATTCCAGAGGATTTGCGCCCCGGCTCGCTGGTGTAGAAGATATGGCTAATTTTATCCTTGAATCGCGGGGGGGAAGACGCGTCGGCAAGCTCTGGGCCCATCGATTCGTACAACGACAACCAGACCTTAAGACGCGTTTTAATCGCGTTTACGACTTCCAGAGGGCCTTATGCGAAGATCCTGACGTGCTAGGCGCATGGTTCCGGCTAGTAGAGAATATGAGGGCGAAATATGGGGTTACAGACTCCGACTTCTACAACTTCGACGAGACAGGCTTTATGATGGGTGTTATTTGTCCTAGAATGGTTGTTACTCGTGCAGACCGACGTGGTAGAGGCAAGGCAGTTCAGCCAGGCAATCGGGAATGGGCTACAGCAATTGCCTGTATTAATGGGGAGGGCTGGAGTATTCCTCCATTCTTGGTAGTTCAGGGCAAGAACCATCTCTCCAACTGGTATACCGACGGCGGCCTCCCACCTAACTGGGTTATGAAACCGACAAGCAATGGTTGGACAAATAATGAAACAGGCCTGGAATGGTTAAAGCACTTTGATAAACACACTACAGCTCGTGCAAAGGGTCTGTATCGAATACTAGTTTTGGATGGGCACGAGAGTCATGAATCGGCTGAGTTCCAAGACTACTGTACGAAACACAACATTATTACTCTTGGACTACCTCCTCATTCATCCCATCTAACCCAGCCACTTGATGTTGGGTGCTATAGTGTGTTAAAACGAGCGTATGGTCGGCAGATTGAGACGTTTATCAAGGCCCATATCAACCATATTACAAAGGTTGAGTTCTTTCTAGCCTTTACAGCAGCATACAAGGAAACAATGACAGTCCTAAACTGTCAGTCTGGATTCCGCGGAGCTGGCCTAGTACCATTTAACCCGCAAGCAGTGCTTTCAAAGCTTGACGTAAGGTTACGGACTCCAACTCCCCCTCGGACGTGTAGTGCCAACTCCCTCCCCTGGGTGTCCCAGACCCCTTCCAACCCAACTGAAGCCCTTTCACAATCAACTCTTGTACGAAATCGTATAGCCTGTCATCAAGGAAGCTCGCCAACTCCACTTTTTCAAACAGTTGCTGCGTTAGCAAAGGGTACAGAGCGAATGGCACATGAGATGACCCTTTTGTCTGCTGAGGTCCGTACCCTTCGCGCTGCAAATGAAGCCCTAAGTAAACGCCGTAGGGCTAAAAAGACTCGTGTCCGCCAAGGAGGGGCACTTATAGTAGAGGATGTACAGGATATGTTAGCTCAGGAGGATGTAGATGAGCAAGTACGACGCGACATGCGTGAGGCGGGGGTTGGTTATAAGGAGGGGCAACCTTCTAGGCGGCGCTGTAGAACTTGTGGAAAAGCTGGTCATAACGCGCGAACTTGTCAAGAAGTTATAGATATATCTAGTTCGTCAGATATAGAGAGCGATAATTAATTTAATATACTGTGGTTGATTTATTTAGGTGTAAAGTTCTGTGCCAAGAAAAAGTGATCGACTCGGTGATATGATCGACTCGGTGATAAACCACGTTATACTCTTTTCTAGTTAATTAAGTAATTAAGAATAACCTTATACTTTTACCTAGAAGAGTAAGGATTATATCAATAGGTGTAAGTACTCGGTAAGGCTTCTATAAGTTTAGAATAAATAATATACTAAGTTAGGGTAAAGATTTAAATGTTTTTAATTAGCGCGTACGCTAGCTATACTTTATTACTAGTATGTAACGATAACTGATCCGGCTAACTGAAGCTTGACTGTTGTTCGCTGGTTGGTATGCTAGGATAAGAAGAAGAACTATCGGGTTGTTCACTTGGAAGTGAACTCGTTACTTGTATCAAAGATGTCAAACAAATATGATAAGATTGATAACTAAGTTGAGCACGAAGCTCCTATCTAATGGCAGACGTGCCAGTCTTATATAGAACCTTCGTCCTCTCCTGGATCCATTGGATCCCTTTGGATCCCTTCGGGATCCATCCGGGTCCATCACGTGACAGTAACCAATGGAAATCCTTGGATCGCTTAGCTACTCTAAGCGATCCCTATTATAAGAAACCTGGGTGTGCACTGTCGAGGGTTGCGCCTCCTATTATGACATGTATCACATGGACACGTGATTCGTGACATAGTAGTCTCTAGGTACGGATATACTAGGCTAGCCTATAAGGGTATACTAAAGGTATGTACCTTTCTTTAGTAAAGATAGTATAAGTCTACTAAATTACTAAGACTTTCTAGTAATTGTTAGAAGACGAAGGTACAATATAGAATGGATAAGCTGGAATACAGGGAATCGATTAAATAGTACTCATGCACGTATAACTTATGTATGTATAAGCCCACGTACAGGCTACTATAAGACGTTCTACTCCTTCTCTACTACTAAAATACTACTATAACACCTACTATGTTTTTACTATTAGGATTAGAAATAAAAGTGTAGACGGATTAGGGTTAGGGTTAGGGTTTAGTTGGAGTTAGGGTTAGGGCTAGAAGTTGGGGTTTGTGGAATATGATTTTTGGCTGTTTTGTAGTGTAGACATAGCTAAGTGGCTCCCTTTGTGAGGGTTGGAACCCATGATGGAGGCTCGGGCCATGCCCTCCCTAAGCACTGACCAAAGTCCCCGCTCAGCATTGGCCATTGCTCCACTGCTAAATTGGTTTCTCCTTTTCCACAATTTTTTACTCTATTCTTTTGACGTCACGTATTTGTCAAACAGTTTCTTGGAAGACTCCAGAAACTCTTCCTCTCTCTATATATAGAGGAAGAGATTGCATGTATGTAGTCTTCACGCACTTCTTAATTGAATATTCGAAACCACACCTTTGAGCTATTCGAGGTCTGGCCTCTCACACCCTTGAAACAATTCAATGTAGTAGGATCTCGACTTCTACACACAGCGGCAGTAGTAACATGGGAAAAATAATTGCAGTGCTTTAACAAGCTCTTCGCTCAACGGCTGATATCAAGCGTACCCGGGGACTTTTGCAGACTTGAGCGCGTTGCTTGTTGTTCTTTACAACTTAACGACGGAATTCATCGCGGGGGATGGCAGAGAATAATGAGGCTGTGCCCACTGAGAACCATTGGTTCGTATGGTTTTTTTCAAATGTTACTGCTCTGCATGTGGTGTGCATAAGATGCCCATGTGTTGGCAACGTTTTCCCAGGGCCTAAACCGGGTTGGAGGAGAATACTAGGATGCGATCCTTACTCTGCGGGTAAATTTACACTGGGTCACTTGAACTTCTGGGGTGGAAGGGAGGCAGCCAACAGGCTTCATAGTCTTCGCACATAGGCTAGTGCATTCGACAGATGATTGTCCGGTTGTCATCTATCAGAAAACAAGAAACCACGTAAGGGAGGGAAATACGAAGTTCTCTAGCCTAGAAAGAAGAAGACGCGTCAGGATCCAGCACAACGACCCTTTGGTGCCTAGAATGGGGCAGTATTTTGGCATTGTGGAATGGTTTTGTGAGGCTGTACAGATGGGGGCTGAAAAGTGCTGTACTGGACTTTGATTGATCGCTTGATTGGGTAGATCTGTGCCAATAACTCCCTAATCAGACATGATGCCTACCGAGAAGGGATATTGTCAATACATACACAACCCAACTTAGCGCCCGGACCTCTTCTATCTAACAGTTGGTACTATACCGTGGTAATAGGGTGGCAGGGTGGAGTATAGTACTGGACCACTGCTACAGCATAAAACACTACCCAACCTTAGGGTTAACACTTCACGTTAATTACACTCAAACACTCTCTATAACGTATATACGTTAGCATGATTAATAATTAGATAATTGCAATTAATTGTATCTACCTAATTTGTTTAGTATATTTGAATTTATAGAGTTATTAGGCAAGATAAGAACAATCGCGACGTACACTTTTTTATACCGAAAAGAACCCGAAATTAGCCTACAAAGAAACCTTAGAAGGAGCAATCAAATATATTTGCTGCACTTTAGATGAAAGAATGGGTGACATTAGTGGGGTTTAAGCTTTTATGCAGTGGCAGTGGCAGTGGCACCTACAGTAGTAGAAGTTGGCAAGACTACTTTTGGGCCATCCAGAGAACAGCTTTCTACGTGTCCATATACCACGTACGTAGGAAAGTCGCCCGATCACGAGATCCTCCCGCTTACCACAATCTTCTACGCATAAGAAGAGGGATTCTAGCGAGTAGGAGCCGCGAACTCACACTATTCTACACGACTCCGTACTACTCTGCTACCCTAGCATATTTGTTAGCATTAACTTTCGGCATCTGGAATTCCTTTCCGTTCCAAATCCCCCCTCTAGAATAATTCTATTCCTTTTAGGATTTGGCTAGAATTATTCTATTCTAGAGGCTTGTATTCTATAGAATTACTAGAATTTCTAGATAGATTTTATTGTATAACCGGGAAAAAGTCGCCCCGATCCGAGTAACTAATAGGAAGCCTCTACTTAGCTTTAGATTCTGTATTATACTATAAGCTCCTATCGAAATGTGACGTAAACATTCCCCTTATTACCCTAGACTACGTATATTATACTACAAAGAGTCTCTATATAAGTGGTCCCTATTTACTTAATTTAATAAAAGATATATTTACTTAAAAACCACTCCTAAATACTACGTTTTAATTAGTTAGAAAAGCCTCTAGATGTGACGGTTCTAACCGTCACCACCATTCGATCACGTGGTCTCGCTTAGCGACCCACACCAAGTATTTAGATCGAAGCTCTCTCGAGCTCTCCTCTTCTCCTCAGCTTAGAATCTTTGTTTAATTGACAGTTCTACGATTCCACAACCTACACCGTGGGCCTTGCGTACGTGTCGTCACACTAGAATTCTATAGAATATAGTTCTATTTGTCGAAAGTCAGTTAGTATAGACTTACTAAGGTAGATGAATAATGGTATCAATTAGCTATAGGAAATATTTAGCGAATCCTCCTTGGTGGGAATTACTAACAGTGGGAAAAGAACAACGGAGGAAATGAGTTTATTAGCTGGCTACTTAGGTAACTGGATTACTATTACGATACGAGCTCTCGGCTCCACTGTCTAGCACTAGCATATTCCATGGAAGGCGCGAGTCCTATTCTGGACACTTCCAGGCCGACAGATAGCTCCTATATTAAAGCCCTGCTCGCCCCCTAGGCTCTAGCTAGCTCTTCTCTCTGTATTCGGAATCGACTAAATGGTACTCATAGAGGCCTGTGCTATCTCTGACATAAAGGTTTCGTAAAGAGAGGTTTCTCAGTCAAGGTATGATCTTTACGATGGGAAAAGTATACAACTGATAATGTCGCTTGTTGGATAGATGCACCGGCGAGTGAGATCACTATTGCAGCCATACGGACCACAAAGATGTCTACAGGTAAGCATCAACTTCACCCCTCTTTATTCTTCTCCTTGTGAAATTGTCTCACAATATTCTCACACAGACCCAACGCCAGATCCCAAGAGCCGGGACGAAGTCGCTCGCTCTATCCTACTATTTTCCCTCTTAGCCCTAGCCACGAATTCCATGGCCTCAGCCCCTCGAAACGTTCTCGGGTTCTCTGGAGGATACCGTTTTTACCTTGCAAGCTCCCCCATAGTTTGTCTAGCCGACACAATCTCAACAACCATCCGAATGCTCATCATAAGGCTTTTCCCCAGAACATCAGAAGCAAAATCATGTGCCCTCCTTATCCAACAGAGACTGCAAATACCAATACCGACGAAGGGGGGAAATCCGACAGATGGTAGAGTCAAGATACTTCAGAATGCTCCATGGCCACAACTCATAATATTTGTCATCGGCACTTTACCAGCAGCCATCAAACTCTGTAGTTTCTCCGGGACCCCGTGGACCACAGTTTGGGGGATGATGTTCCTCGTCTCATTTCTTGGAAATAAGATAATCGAACTAATAGCGTCAACCCAATCCTTTGCCGACGACATATCCTCTCTAGTAGAGGCTGGATTACCAATCGAAAGGGCCCCTATGCCCGACCAATATGCACACAGCGGAGATATCGAGAAACAAACGGGGTTTCCCACAGAAGCGGCCTTTATTGGGCTCTCGGTTATGGCCCACTCTTTGGTGATAAGCAACCTTATAACCCGACCACACATTCTCGTCACAGCCTTCAAACTGGCTTTCCTTACTGAATTCCTGATATGCATTCTCCTTGGGGGTAGTAATCTGTGTGTGATAGGGCGTAACGTTATCCGTATTAGCCATTATTTGTTTGTGTATTGTGGCGCATTTTTCTTCAACACGATTGGGAAAGAAGATATTGTGATGGTCTGCCTGCATATGCTTTTGACGATTCTTTGGTCTGCGCTTTGGTGCGGGTCTTGTATGAATCTGATCAGGTTGTTCGAGCGGGAGACTTCAATAGTAAAAATGGTTCTGCTTTCGTCCGTTGACGAAAAGACGAGGGTTAGCACTGAAGCCCAAGACCAACATCAAGATGAGACGTCTGTGAGCCAGCTATCAGACAGCAGTCATCATACCCAAGGTTCTGACGAAACCGACAAGAGCCTCACAGAATACACAGAACAAGACATAGGAGAAGCTCGACTATTACATTATGGTACCTACACACAACGCTTCGAAGGAACATGTCAGATGTCAATCCCCCTTCCAATTATCGCAACGAAAGAATCCACAGTCAAGATAGAAGCTGTCTCTTCTCTTCTCCTTTTTTCCCTCAACATCTTATACTGTACATGTTGGTATATATATGAGTACAATCCCCATGGCACGGTGAATCCAGGCTGGGTGGGAGTTTTTGGGTGAGATGTCAGGAAAGCGCTTTTGTGGAAATCGCTTTTGACAACAAGTCGATTCTCAATTCCAAGGATACAGCTTCGTTGAAAACAAAAGGCTTACCATTCAATTACCTCAAGTCTCCAAAACATTCCTCTCGGTTAATAACAGCATCAACTAATTTAGTACCATTTGTGCACCCTTTGAGCGGGGTTAAGATAGGCATGCTCGCCTAAAATTATGAAAAACAGAAATCATAGCTCTTACTTCCATTAAAAACTTAGCGTAATGACCTTTAGTTGTGGCTTGTTGAGGTGCGGAACGAGTGGGGTGCTGGGTGTGGAATGAGGAATGGAATGTTGCAAGTAATGGAAACACTACAACAACATACAAATATATATAAGGGTCTATGTTCCCTGCCCCTCGTTACTTCCCGTTGCTCTAATATAGACGCTGGTGACCCTACCATGTCCCTATAGACCAGACGTAAACCAAAGGCGAAATATTATTCGGGAATAGCTTCACTTTTTGCTTGTCTAGGTATAAAGGACTTGCGAGGCGTTGTGCTTCAATTACTTATTATTTTGGGTTGCATAATGTACTTTCTTAGGCGAGGGGTGTGCTTTAATTAAAGATTGACTTCAATTATTAATTTAAATAGCGAATAATTCGCATTCTAGAAGTGATCAAATAATACTGTCTATTCCATCATGCGTACTAATTGACGAATCACTGGTAGTGTTGATCAATTCGTCGATTTGAGGGTTACAATAGCACAGATAGCCTCTCCAGGACTCTCTACCCTTCAAAACCCGGACTAAACTCAAATCGTTCCTGATTAGTATTCTACTATACCCTTATCCTTACATTACTCCAATATTCGAGTTCGTATCTCCCTTAGATTCTCTAACTCTCTTCTTTCCTCTTCCCATTCTCGTATTAATCTACCAACCCCCCAGAACACAGCGTTCGGAATGAGTTAGGTTGAGGTAAGTTAAGAAGTACCTACTCAACTCAACTTAACTCACGTAGTATCTAGACCTAACCAACTTATTCCGCCAAGTACTCGAGTTGCGTTAATTAAAGGATGTAAATTCTATCGCTAAACACTATAACTAATCATAGTATATCCTAGCCCCAACTTTCCGCTAAATCAGTAATTTAAAAACTCAGATCTAGGTACACATAAACTTTTCTCACATATGCTCTACGTAATAGTATCCCCCCTCCCCTACCCCCTCTATATTTACCAAGGCTTCAACAGTCCTAAGCGAGAATTCCTTAATACCGAGCCTTTTAAATTATTTATAGTAAACTCCTCGCGTAATCTAAATAACTCCTTGAATGAACCACCCCACTAGGTACTCATATATAACTTACCTTCTTATAATGTATTAAATAACTCGATAATCCGAGTTATTAAGTAATCCATCCAAAAACCACAAAAACCCCACTAACTCGCTTAAAAATTGAAATCTCCATCCCTCTCTTATCCTATTTACATCAAACCCCTATCAACAAATAAAGCGCAAATATACCAAAGTAACCAACCTACACACAACACAACAACACCTGCCCAAGTATCTATCCACCTACCCATCTATCCACCTCAGAATCCCCTCCATCAACCCGTCAGGTCTGCCGTCTACATCGTCCCAGGCGTAATAATTATAACCTTTACGGGGGCTTTTACCCTATTCTCCACTAAAACCACCCTAGTAAACCTATAATTAATAGGCTTGGGACGAAGTAAGAGTTCTTACTGGTACACATTCAAAACACACTAACTAACCCCCTCCCAGATCATATGTCACATATCACATATCATATATCATATCATAGATCGTATATCGTACTCTACTTCGTATCAAGATAACAACATACTTCTAACCTTAAACCTTGTACACAGTATAGTAAGTTAAGGTTATTCTATATCTTCACGTTCAGTTCCGTTTAGTTATATAAGACCCACCGAACCCCTATAGTCTAGTACCCAATTATACAAGCCACAAGTCACAAGAAAAAAAAGGACCCAGGGGGAAAGGGGGAGGGGAGAAGAGCAAACAAACGTACAATACCCCCCTCACCCCCCTCTTTTCCCTGACGAAATAAGACAGAATTTGTCGGTATATTCAAGTTCCAGGAGGGTGAGCCACGTGGTACTGTCCGAGACAGTCCACTACACCACTATATTATTAGCTAGCACCCACACTCTCTTAGAACCCCATGCGAATATACAAGATTAGATTCAGTGTCCGGGCTTAAGAAGCCAAAGCAACAAAATAAAAACAACAAAGTCACATAACAAGGTATATAAAGTAGGTAAACCCGAGTCTTTCAACAACAAACAATCTATTTACGCCTTCCTTTCCATCTATTTTTTCCCCATCCAAACATCCAAATCTACGCATACGTAACTGTATAAACACACCAACTACAAAAGAATTCACAAATGACCACCGTTGGTAACACCATCCTAATCCCATCCCATTCCCGATACGCCATATGCATCCCCCAAGACAAAAAAGAGAGAGGGAAAGAAAGAGACAAAGACACAAGCAGGGAAAAAAAAAAGAACGCCTCAAAATGCAAAAACCTCACAAATTTTCTTTCTCTTTTCTTAATCTCCACCTGGTCCGTCCCTGTGATAGAGATGTCTGTACAAAAATCAGATTCTCACGGTTGAACAGCCCCAATATCCTTCAACGCTCCCGCAAGCCGTCTATAATCTCTCAGTAACTCCAGGACCTCATTTAACTTCAACTCTCCCGGGTTCTGCAACTCCATAAATTTCTTGATGGGAGGTGCGACCTTGGGTATCTCTTTGGGTGGAAGGACTGCTGCTAGGTCGGGATGTGCCTGTTTATATTAGTCTAAGGTCAAGAGAGGAGAATGGGGGGGCACTCACAGTAGTGAGATCAGCAACCCCACCATCCGGAACAGATTTACTCGTTGCAGGTACTGGAGCAGCTGGAGCAGGTGCCGAACGGCCAAAGCCCCTCATCATCCCCATTCCCGCGATCCGATTTATAGGATTGAGGGAGTTACCCAAGTTCCGCATGGATTCCACAATTGGAGGGTTGGTGATGGATGATGGTGCAGTGGCAGTTTGCAATGGTGAAGGAGTGGCAGGTTTCTCAGGCCCCTCCTCAGCAAAAATGACCTTTCTAGTGCTACTGCTGGCACTTCTTGCGCTGTCGGTACTCCGATCTCGAGTGTTCTTACGTCCCCCGATCAGATTCAGGACCTTGTCATCTTTCGATGCCGAATCACTGCGTTCACGCTGATGTTCTGGGCTGTGAAGTGAGCTACCAGCACTTATAGATACTTCATCCTCAAGTGGTGGGGTGCCGACAAGCTTTCGAGCTTCGTCTAAAGTTTTTGGTACAACGATAGCTGATGAGTTCCCGGTTATTTCATCCTGGCGCTCTTTGAGCTTGCCAACCAAGAACTTATAACTGTCTCCGAGAGAAGTTCCGATATTTTTGAATCCCTGGTCTACCGCCTCACCTGCCTCCTCTAGAACCTGGGATGGAGGACGGAACATGTCGCTGATTCTACGGTTGCTGTTATTTGCCTGCGTATTTGCCTGCGGTCGACTGAATGCAGATACCGGGGCCTCAATGGTATCTGGGCTTTCAACGAGAGGACTGCTTGGTTTTATAATAATCGGGGATGGAATGGACCCAGTTACAATGTTAGGCTTCTCCAGCTTTGGGGTTGTTGGTCGACTGTTGGTTTTTGTGGGACCAGAAGGAGCCTCATCCGCTCTTAGACTGGCTAAGTCCACGGTTTCAAGAAAAGTGATGGCAGCCTCTAAATTCGTCAAGCAGTATGCAGCTTCTCCGTCGATTTTGGTTTCATTTCGAAATCTTTGAATGAAATAGAGATTACTGATAACGCTGATTCCCTCAGGTGGAGACGTGATTAATGTGTATATCAACATCGGCATTATTTCATCTGCAGAAGATGAAGGGTGAAAATGTGACAAAGTATCAACAATACTCTTATGGGCTGCTTTTAGATGGTGAAGTTTTCCCAGTGGGTACCTCTGACCACCCATGGCTATCAGCTCGTCTCTCGCTCCTTGTAGCCATTGGCGAACCTCTGCCTCTTTTTCTTCAGTCGAATCCGCTTGCTCGGGAGAATTCCCCGAGTCAATTCCAAGATCTGTAAGTCCGATTCCTACCACTGAAAGAGCAGCCGTCTTTGACCGCAGTTTTTCGTCCTGGGCTTCATCCTGGGTCGACCTGTGCCGAAATATCCGGTCATATATACCCTCGCATACCCTCCTCTCCACTGCTTCCTCCAAGGCTATGCGTTTTTGCTCCAGCACTTTCCGAGCCCGTTTTCGTTCTGCAATTTCCTCCTTCGTGAGCATCTGTTGCTCGGAATCTTTCCTTTCCAGCGGTTTCGGTTTATCTTTGGAACTAATCGAGGCTGCCTTGGCTCTTGAGAAAATTGAAGAAGATGAAGGGGCAGGAGAATTTGCTCGATGTTGCCGAGAGGATAGAGCGGAGATGTGGGTATTGATATGGTCTGCAGCAACCGAATAAAAGTCTTGGAAGAGGCCTGACAATTTGTCGACGGTTGGGGGAGTCGGATGGACTTTGGCAGAGAGAGAATCGATGAAGCTGGTATATCATTAGCATCATTAAGAATGCAATGCCGAGTAATCCTACCTATCAGTCAAACTGACGAGCTCTATTGGGAGCTCATCGAAATCTGCCGGCAGCTTCTCTGAGGTGTGAGCAATGCCCTCCGCGTCTTCCGGCATCTTTTGGATGCTGTCTGGCTGGCTTGTAGACATGTTGCTCCCGCGTATTTTTGGATTGGGATTGCTGGTATTTGTAGTCATACCATTCTGAATGGTACTGGCTCTTTGTGCCCGGTTCAAAGGACCAAAATCTTGAGATCCCAACTTGGTAAAGCTCCTGGTGGAATGGAGGGTTCGTGATCGGTGGTCACTTTTTCGCGGACTCGGCTTTGGGCTCGTTGATGCCATAAAATCTGGAACATTGAACAGCATCCTGTCAGTAATTGCCTGCATGTTGGTGGTTGGAGAGATATCGATATCGAGATCCAAAAGTAGAGAGTGTCAAGAGCCGTAGGATAGAAGTATATATTCACCTAACAAATGCTTTTGTATGTCTCTATGTCTCTATGTCTCCTGCCCAGAAGTTTCGCATGAATGAGACGAAGGGTTGGGAGGGACTGTTCTGTTACTGAAACCTTGCGCGAGACGGGGATCACGGATAAACGAGTGTTAGGATTGGGCGAGTAAGGAAAGGATGATGTCAACACATCCACGCAATCACCAGCAAAGCTTATTAGATGCGTTGCAAGTGCGCGATGCAGATACACGCTGGCGAGTGAAGTGTATCTCCTACAGTACTCGGCGGGAGCGATGGGAGGAGGTGAGGGAGGGGAGTGAGTCTGTTTTTGGTGAAGCAGCTCTAGAGCATAGTATAGGTATCTCCGTACACACTACCAAATGTGGCATTGTGGATGGCCCTGTGAGTGGAGTCGCGGTACTGTGAACCCTTCGGAACGGCGCCTACGCCAGATGAGGTAGTACAACCGGCTGGGGTGGAGAATCTGCAGCAATGGCTCCCTTATCGTCAGGCTAGACCGCTGGCGGCATTCGTTATCGTTTGCCCTGAATGCACAGAAATGCAGCTACTGTAGCAGCTAGGTAGAGTCTAGCAGGCTAGTGCGGTAATACACTGTATGGTAGCTGTACATTAGGTAGGACGCGGATGCGCATATCGAATCACGGCCACAAAATCCGCCTCTAGCTTCTAGAGTACCTTGGCCAACCCACCTGCAACCAACTTTCAGCGCCCGCGGGCTGTAGTGTAGCTATAGTTAAATTTTCTGCCTCACCTGCCTCAGTCATCCATCTATCCTCCCTCCTCGACTTATCACCGGACGGATTAGAGGTCTTCTCTTGCTGCCTCACTGCTGCCTCAGTCATCCATCTCCCTCACCGAGCTCACCTCACCTTCCGACATCCCTCTCCGCCTCCGCCACCTCGGCTCAAAACCGGCCCCGCTGCCTAGCAACACCAGCACACTTCACCACCAATCAAAATGACGTCTGTGAGATCTCCATGATTTGTGAATCCAACATCCCGGTGTGTACGAGGCCCGCGTGCGACATACCATCATCACTTCACTCGACTACTTGAACTCCCCAGCATCCCCATCCTCTCGCGGCCTTTTCTATGCCTGCCCTGCCCACGTCTGCCAGCACACCTAAAAGTCAAGCTAAATAGCCACAATGCATCGGAAGTGTACTTCTGCCGGCAGAGTGACTTCACAATGTTTACTCTCCTTCCTCGTCCTCTCTACACCCATCACCGCCGTGGGAGGCGATCGGTTACACCCACAACAGCAGCCACTCCCCCTACTTCCTGACCTGCCTTTCCCTCCCAAGTCCAAAGTTCCGGCCGGTGATTACGATCATGTCTTCGTATGTATCTTCATGCTTCCCATATATATACTAGAAGTACTAACTGCTCGTATAGAAGTTGCGTCATGTCTTCAACCACAAAAATATCAACCGACCAGCCGAGCACATACGGATTGATATCCCGAAGACCGAATCGCCAGTATGGATAGAGTCAGAGGAAGGGGGCGTTCTAGTCCAAGAGACTCGGCCCCTGGTGGTAAAGAGCAGTTCCATGAACATACACCGTCTAAAGGACAGGCGCCCCTCAGTGGTGGATCCTATGGTGGCCGCTGCTAGAGAATACAGTGATGTGTGGGCTATGGGCCCAGAAGCGTGGACTCTGGATGATGTCTACGGGCCAGATGTGACAGATAAGGAAACTATTTTGAGTCTGGCTCAGATGGCAGCAAATGCGTATTGCCCAATCCCAGGCTCCGGGAACTGGAAAGATGTAGAGGGGGGGTTCAACAGGACCAACGACGAGGGCTTTGGCTGGCAGGGAAATACGCTTCAAGGATATCTCTACGCCGACGAGAGCAACTCGACTATTGTCATCAGTATCAAGGGCACATCTCTTGCGATATGGGACGGGCAAGATACTACGACCAATGATAAAGAAAACGATAACCTCTACTTTAGCTGTTGTTGTGGCCAGCAGGGAAGCGCTTTCTATAGGACTGTCTGCGACTGTGCTACAGCAACATACACTTGTAACTTGACATGCTTGAAGAAAAGTCTCAAAAAAGAAAATCGGTACTACGCGATGGCCCGTCAGCTTTATTCCAATGTCACAGCAATGTATCCCGATTCCGATATCTGGCTGACCGGTCACTCGTTGGGTGGTGCCATTAGTTCTCTGGTTGGATTGACCTACGGGATTCCAGCCATTACTTTCGAAGCCGTTCCTGATGCCTTACCCGCGAACAGATTAGGTCTTCCAGTACCGCCAGGAGTCGATCCAGACAGACCGGGACAAAGAGACTGGACTGGTGCTTTTCATTTCGGACAAAATGCAGACCCCATTTACTTGGGGACTTGTAATGGAGCCACGGCCAGTTGCTCTTTTGCCGGATATGCCTTGGAAAGCTCTTGCCACTCCGGGAGAGAATGTGTCTACGACGTAGTCAAGAACAACGGAACGGGGGTGTCTATTTATACACACAAAATCATATATGTGATTGAGAACGTCATCAAAAAATACACCGAAGTGCCCGAGTGCAAGTTTACACCGGAATGTTATGATTGTCCATTGTGGAAAGAGGTTACTGGTAATAGCAGTCAAACAACATCGTCTACGACCAGCTCGACCCGAACTCAGACGCGAACAGAAACTTGCAAAACTCCTGGTTGGTGGGGTTGCTTGGATGAGACCACGACAACAAGTGCAACAACTACCAGTAGCAGTACCACGACCACATCGACATCAACCTGTAAAACGCCAGGTTGGTTTGGATGTAATGATGAGAAAACAACAACCACCAGTGCTAGCAAGACCTCACTCCTTACCGCCACATCTACATCAACCACAACGTGTGCCACACCTGGATGGTGGGGATGTAATGATCCCACCACGACATCTCAAGGTGCCGCTTCACCGACATCATCTATATGTCACACCCCAGGACTATTTTGGGGATGCTATGATCAAAGCACCGTCACTGTCACAACCACTACCACCACAACACTCTCCCATGCTATTACTTCACCCCCTCCGGTACCCACATCGACCAGAGTAAGGGCTACGGCTAGCCCTAGCCCAAGTACAACGCAATCCGCGTGTACGCCCTACTTCTTTGGATTGATTTGCTTGGGTGCATCACCTACACCTATTCCCGACTCGGAAGAGGGGAAACGGATGAAGGTGGAAATTTAGATGTATATTCATATTAGACGGAAGTATGACGGTTGGTTATACATCGTTCCTGCTTCTTTTTGGTTGGCGTAATTGGGATAGTTTAGGATGGGCATTTTTGGGACGGTTTGGGCTAGGCATTAGGAGTTTTTTCTTTCTTTTTAAACTAGCATACATGAATGAGCGATTTTACTGTAGGATTCAAGTGAATCATTCAATATATGATTATTGCACCCATGTATTATATTCAAAGTGTGGCTAAAAGCATACCTGGATGTGTGATAAAGACTGAGGAGGTTCTCGTGGGGAGAAGAGTTAAACGTGTTTTAAGCGAGAGAAATCCGAAAATCCCTGAGAAACTTATGTTCTCACAATTGCTTTTACAATCTCCTATGCTCACTGGACTTCACGGGCTTTCAATCCTTCCAAGATGTTTCTTTGAAAAAACACCTTGTACGAATACCACTACAATTGTGATACATTTCTGATTGACAATTTAATTATTTCATTTCATTCCTTCATCATACACCACCTACCTATGCGTCCACTCGGGCTTCTTCTTCTCCGCAAAAGCCTTCATCCCCACCTTCTGATCCCCACTCCCAAACAAACCATGGAACACCCTCCTCTCAAACTCCACCCCATCCCTCAACGGCAAATCCTGACTCTTATTCACCACCTCCTTCGCAGCCTGCACCGCAACCTTACTATACCCCGCAATCGTCTCCGCCGTCTTCAGAGCCCCCTCCATCAACTCTTCATACGACTCAAAGGACCGCGCCGCTACACCCCACGACACCGCTTCCGCGCCCGAAAACGATTTCCCGGTTAGGATAAGCTCCATCGCGCGCGCCTTCCCGACCGCACGCGTTAAGCGTTGCGAACCACCTGCCCCTGGGATGGTACCTAGTTTGATCTCTGGCTGGCCGAAGTTCGCGCTGGCCGTGCAGTACAGGATGTCGGCCATGAGGGCGAGCTCGCAGCCCCCGCCGAGAGCGTGGCCGGAGACTGCGGCGATTATGGGCTTCTTGATGGAGGTGGTGAGCGCGGACCAGGATTCTATGAAGGAGGTGCTGTAGGCTTCGCTGAAGGTGAGGGTGGACATTTCTTTTATGTCGGCGCCGGCTGCGAAGGCCTTTTGGGACCCAGTTAGAAGGATGGCGCTTATGCTGGGGGAGGATTGGAAGGTTGTGAGGGCGGTGTTGAGTTCGATTATGAGGGGGGTGGAGAGGGCGTTGAGGGCTTTGGGGCGGGAGAGGGTTACTGGGTTTGTGTGTTAGTGAGGGGTGGTTAATGGATGGTGTGTAGAGCGTGGGGGAATGGATTAAAGAGTAGACAAACGCACTTTGACCTACTCCTGGACGGGGCTCGCAGACTTCAATGAATTCGTAGATTTTCACTGACCAGGCTGAGGAGCTTCTGGTGAGTGTGAGTGCGGGGAGGGAGGAGGATGATGTTTTGAAGTGGGAGGCCATTGGCCGGATGGTTCTGAATGTTTTCAACATATTGAGGGATCAATTGACCTAGAGCCTCAAATGGGATATGGAATTGTAAATGGGATGTGGTGGTTTGGTTTGGTTTGGAGAGCTAGCAGTGGAAGTCCAGCTTGATGTTGAGATCAACCCACCTCTTTCCCTAGGAACCTCGGCTGCCGACCCTAGCCGAACCTTTCTTGGAGATCACGGGACTGGGGTAGGTACAAGTACTTCTTAAAATTCCCAGATAAACTTCACTTTTTGTTTCAAACACAAATATCTAGGAGAAATGGGTTCAGTTACTTTAAAATCTCCAGAGTAGTTGCACTTGTACCTTGATTATTCTTTCAAAACAACTAGAACAAGCGTTCAGACCCGTAGTTACAGTTTTCTGCGTTGCTGCTAATTCGGATGTTCTTCTGATTTTCAGCTTACTTAGCTTGGAATTGTTTGCTTCAACCAAACTTGTGAAAACACGAGAGAATGTACCGAGTGAGGGGCTCAGAATGTTTAAGACATATTCGAACATAATAATACGTTGTTCTTCGCGAGTCTCCTTGCCTGTGTTTTCTACGCGAAGTTTTCCCTGTACTGCAATATTACAGCCTGACATGTGTAGCATAGTGGCATAGTCAAATTTGGTTCTATGTTTCGCATCATGTACCAAGTTACTACATGGAACCTCTGAATTATCATTAAGAGAGCAAGTTTTTAAGCTGAACTTTTCCCAAATAATATCAGCTAATCTATACTCTCTACTCAATTTACAAACCTAAACCCAAATTCCAAATTATTTAGATCTTATCATCTTATACGTTTCCTCCAAAACTGCAGAATCGCTGATGATTCTTTAATGAAAGATGGCTTTATGTAGGGACCCTCGTCGAAGAATGCAAAGCAGGAGGAAGAGGCCATGATCTGTATTGCTGGACATGTTGGGATGCAACAATCTCACATTTATTTGTACATTTTGACATTTTCACGAGGAGAAAGTTCGATAGTATGTTAGAACTAAGGAATGGCCTCTTAGTAGATGATTCTCTGGTGATTCGTTCGATGACAGTGCTAAAATTCGTTCTTAATGGTATCAGGAAAACCTCAAGTAGCAGGCTCGGGGATGGTTCATGAATAGCATCATCCTAATAGGGCTAGCTGGAGGACGTTACTTGACAGCTTAAGACTGAACAGGCTGCTGAATGCATACACCTTTTTCAACGTGTCAAAAAAGGAATAGATAAAGGATTGAGGTGTAGAATCTGCAATTGGGGATGAGCGGACGGGGCTTTCTTCCATCTTGGGTAATTTGATACCTGTAGGAGGCGACTCTGAACCCTCGTCGAGTCAGAATGAGTGTGAGAGTAATAGTTTGTGATACTCATACAGGACTTGCATAGTAAAACTGTCGATTTCAGAAAATTGACTACTACGAGACGACTGTTAACTAGGTGGGAAGAAATGGAATCGGAATTGGAACCACTGATAGTTTTAAGGGCATCCACTTCTGGGAGGAGCTTTGAGCCACATTCCGAGATGTATATGATCTAAGACCAAGTTCCATTTGAATTGTTTAAGTCTTGTTCATATCTCTAGCAGCTAGTAGAATGTGATTAAGTTGTGATTTTTACGTTATCGTTGGAGAGCTATCCAACCAGGAATAGACGCAAACAGAAAGGGGCAACTTCCGGGGCGATTCACGTGCATCGCCGAGCCACCCCCGGTCCACTTTTTAACTTCGCCTTGTTGGGCGTGACAACGTTTGCGCCAAGGAAACCTTTGGACGCGCAAGGTGTCGATAATAATCAAGGCCAGGGGAGAGCGAGCCGCAGAAAGTAAAGAACAACGACACTCCTCTTTACCTTCTTCTATTCCACGCCGCCACTTAACTATACTCGAGCGCACCCTTTTTGAACGATACGGACTTTCCACGACGAGAGTTGTGAGGAGAGATTGCGAGGATGGATTCGATTGAGCCTGAACAAACCCCTTTTGCGGCCGTTTCCGCGCATACGTCGAGGATTACACGGGTGAGTTTGCATATTAGTGCGGATGGAGTTAGATGGCAGATGCACGGATTAGATGGAGTTGGATAGTTTTACAGACGGGAGGCTGATAAAGTGGACGTGATAGCAATACCAAGCATGGCTCGATAAATCAACACCCTACGTTACCTACCGATGGATCGGAACTTTCACACTCCTCTGCCTCTTCTTCGTTCGCATATTCGTTGCTCAAGGATGGTATATTGGTATGCCTCTCCTTTTCTTCTATCTTCCGAACTCGCAAATTAACTCGTCGCAGTCGCATATTCCCTAGGAATCTACCTCCTCAACCTCTTCCTTGCCTTCTTACAGCCTAAATTCGACCCCTCCAACGAAGCTCTGGATGCTGACATGGAGGACGGCTCCGTTGGTGGGCTTCCTATGAAACAAGACGAGGAGTTCCGTCCGTTCATTCGAAGACTGCCAGAGTTCAAGTTCTGGGAGAGTGCAACGAGGGCGATTACCATTGGATTTGCTTGCACTTGGTTTGTGATCTTTGATGTGCCTGTTTTCTGGCCGGTGTTGGTGGTTTATTGGTTGATTCTTTTTACTTTGACGAGTAAGTTGTCTTTTATTACTCTCATGGAAGGTTTATGGCGAAGCGCATTTCGAGATCAGGGGAGAGTTTCCAGAGCATTTGAAAGCACAGTGCTAATGAAGTTTCGATGGTAGTGCGAAGACAGATTCAGCATATGATTAAATACCGCTACGTACCTTTCACCTTTGGCAAGGCGAAATATACCAAGGACAGCTCATAAGCTATTCCATCCCCGACCGGGACGATGAACATCCAGTGAGCGTGATGGGACCACGGGACATAATGATGCCGATGATTCGATTGTGGGGATGGGATGGACGGACGGACGGACGGACGGACGGATCACGCAACCTTGTACAAATACCAAAATGGGAACCCTTTTCTCTTTCCGTGTAGCATCAGAATATATCATATTCACGAATAAAGAGAGAAAGAGAGAGATGGGAAGCAAAAGGAGAGGCGTGTACAGGTACATTTGGAGACATGTCTGCTCTTCTGGGGTCTCTTGTGGGATATATGTGTATGGGGAAGGAGCGAAGAGGGCAGCATTTGATTTTTCTTTTCTGGGTGGGACATTGGAGGGGAATTTAATTTTTTTGATGAAATGCTTTTTCTCTCAAATTGGACTCTTAAATATGCGCTCTTGATACAGCTTGTTCTTTCCTGAACCCTTCCGCCTTGTAGAAAAGACGATTGGTTTGTATTATGTTCAGTAGGTCTTCTCCGATCTTCTTCTTTTTGCCTCCTAATAAGGCTGCTTATCTTCTCCCTGTCTAGGTATTCTTGTGTTTAGGAAATCGGTAAAGAATCTAGGTAGGTTAAGTTTTATATATGAACTTGTCATGGGTTTTGGATGATATGCCTAGGGGGGTAATTTTGTCCTCCTCGCTTTCTAGGTTTATCCTCTCTTCTTACTTCTTGTTTAACACTTTGTACATTTGGGATTCACTTCTCCCAAATAGATGGATGACTTCTCTTTGTTGTCTGCTTTTATGGAGTTTGTGTACGTAATGATAGGAAGGCGGATAATGGTAAGTACGCTTTGAAAGAAATACGAGTACGAGCTTTCTGGAATACTAATATATCATCGAATGGCTTCAACCTAGTTTCTCCCTGGCAAGACAAGTACAGCGAGTCTTCATAAGTACCTATGTTTCTATCTCTATGCCGCCTTTCTGCTCTAAAGGCCGTACGTACTCTACTAGAAGTTGGGTGGAGGGGATTTTCAACCTCGTAGTTCGTTCTGCTAAAGTACAACCTTTGGTAGGTACGAACTGATGATCACCGCTCGCTCCCTCCTTCCTTCTAGCTCTCGAGAATGAGAATGACGATGCCGAGAAGAAACTTGAACCGAGGACTTGGAACCTGACAATGCTCGTGAATAAGATATATGGGACTAACTGAGTGAGCAACTGGAAAGTCGTGAAATTTGAACAGCGCGGATGGTTTGGTTGTCACCATGTTGAAGAAGATGAGATGAAGTGTGTGGATGGAATTATCTTGTAACCCCTAACTTCTCCTTTCTCCTGGGGACTTATACTAACCTGAAATTCCTTGAATACACTTAGAAACCCCTCGGTTTCTGGTACCAGTTTCCAGCTTCGGCTCTTGTTTCTTTATTATTTTGACAGATCGCTACCGACGGCGAAGTGCTAATTGCTTCTGAATCTAGACTTGTGTGTTAGTTAGTACTCGCACTACTTCCAAGTTCAATCCAAGGCCGTTTTTGACAGCTTGGTCACGGAAGCTAGTGTTATTTGGTTCTAGAGCTGGAACTACTTGTTTGTTAGCTTCTGCGCTAATTTGGGGGTTATTTTAGAGGCTTTACTTTTTTCCGGTCTGACAGTTTGAAAGTTTGACAGCTTGATTGCGGGAGCTGGGTGTTAGTTCGTAGTATGAACTAAGGATAAAATAGTTTGTTGGTGGGATGTGACGTGACTTGACGTGACTTGGGGTTGAGTTAGTGAGTAGGTTAGCTAGAGGGTAGAGAGAATGGTTAGGAGAAAGATTTTGGGAGGAAAGGGGAGGGTTACAAGTTTGTGTTTATAAGGTCTCTCGAGCTTTATTATTTGGAGGTGGAGATAGTGTGGAGGTTATGGACAGGATAGTTTGGGATTATCGAAGTTGATAACTAAGAAAGTTGGATGTGGTGAAATTGGACACTCTTCTTGTTTCTATAGAAAGTAGAAACTCTGTAGTTTTTATGTTTGACTAGTAAGTGGCGACTCTTGATTTGAAATACATGCGGTGATTACACGCTATGTGTTGAAGGTCTGTAGAATATCTCTGCCATGTATTGTTGCTATTTTCACTTTAAGATCCGCGCTTGAGGCTTTCAAACATGAATTACCCCTCATGTCTCGTTTTCTTGTAGTAATTCTATTAGAGTAGCGAGAGAATTTATGTAGCAGGATGAGGGAGCTGTTCTCGTCAATAATGATAGTGGTGTTGGAATTATTCCAACCCGTCCAACGGAACATATTCCGATTCTCGTCTCAACGAGCCAGTCACCGGGTCAAACAGACGATTTTACGACTTAAATGGCCTGCTCGCAGGGAACAACACGACTTCACTGTCACATTCCCTGTAAACCGAGTTGTATCCCTTGCGTAACCCTCGTCTTGCCTAGTCTTGCCCCTTGTTTTATACAAAAGAAGGCATATTTAGGATAAATGTACAATTAGAACCCTAGATTTCAACGCCGCTTTTCTCCTAAGTTATCGGGCGCCTCACTCGAGGGCAAATAAGGTAGGAGAACCTCCGTAAAAGGGGCGCGGGGGGGAAATGAAGCTATTCGCAACTTCGAAGGTACTTAAGAGAATTAAGTAGCTTCTAGAGTACCTAGGCTAGCTACCCCGTTTATATGCCCTTACGCGTAGGTAGGCATAGGAAGAAACGCGATCAAAAGGTATTACTATAAGATATTTACTTAGGTAGATTTCTTAATAGATTCCCTATAAGTAATTCAGCTTAGTATATTTTGTAAGTAGCCTTATCTTATAATTCCTCTTCTACTTACGCTATTCTATAGAGTATCACATAGTAGGAGTAGGTACGAAGGCGGAGCTAACTTTTCCTTTGGAAAGCAGCGTGCAACAAGGGCAGGGATAATGACAGTGAAGTCGTGTTATTCCCTGCGAGCAGGCCATTTAAGTCGTAAAATCCAAACAGACACCAACTCCAACTCCAATCTTCATTCATCGCTGATCTCCAGCGCGCAGCAGTGTTTACCCCATCATCAACTGCAGATATTGTCTCAACCGGAATATCTTCCAGAGTTCCCGTTCCAGCAACCCGTTCTCCCTGTATTCATAACCCGCTCGCCAAAACATATCATATGTCAACACACGCCCAATGCGAAATACGTACCCATATGTTTTCAAACAAACCAGTGACAAATATCAATCCACAATGATGCGCACCAATGGAGGAGGAAAGTGGATACCGATCGCCCTTCCACAGCTCAAAAAGGTGTCCGCCTCCGTTATTTCCAGGATCCGATGAGACAAATCTCCGGATTTCTTTACGAAGACGAGCTGTCTGTCGATCTTCAATTAGCATTAACGCGGCAGTTAATGCTCCACATTTAAGAGAATACCGGTAAGGAAAAGGTGCGACATAGTTGACTTCAGGTTGTACTTGGGATTCTGATATGCTGGTATTTTTCCTATCTCGAGGATAGGGGTGTGGTATATGATAAGATAGAGACTCTTTGATAGTTTGTTTCAAGATGTGAAGATATCGTGAGATGAACAATACCATCCCATTTCTGTCGGCTGAAGATTCCGCGCTCGTAAAGTGGTATTTTACTGTATCCAAGCGTTATGCTGTGGAGCTCGTATGATTCATCTGAAAATGGCTCAATGGGAGGAAAATACTAGCAGACGCAGCACGTGTGGTACTCGATATGGAACAGAGGAAGAATCCAATTATTCAACTAGAATCAAATAGAGAAACAAAGAGATCCGAAATAGCATAAGCTTTGACAAATAATAATGGATCGCACTTTGGCAAATTCCCAGAGGCAGATTAGGGTTCTTTTCCATGCACTAGGGTTGTCACGTGAATGTCCTTCTTTACTCCCAGTACTTGGTACGTCATCCACTTTATAATTCCAAGCTTCTGAAACCAGGCTCCAAATTTTCTATCACAATCACCATTGCATCTCCACAACACTTCAAAGTTATTGGCATTTGTTATGCGATTTGGTGGCAAGCTTTCCCCAAGATCACATCGCCTTGAAGAAGTCAGTGCATAGAGTTTGATAATGCCCAACCAAGCTTTGGAGACAGTCGGATCTGGCTCAAAGACAACAACCATACGATCGCAATGGAACTCTAGACGTTCTCGACTCAAATTGTGAAATCTTTCGTTATGCGCCCCAGTCCTTGGATACGAATGGCTAAGAAGAGGTGAACGTCATTTTCAACCTGCCATTCCTTCAAAGTTGGCTATGTAACCTCACGTCCCCGCATTTCACGACTCAAACATATGGCTTCGGAGGCAATTCCGCGTGGTGCCGACGATCACTTCAAATCCAGAGCCTCCTCCGAAGTTCTGTATGGCCCCCTTGAGATTCGAAATTTTCAACCATTCGGGGCCTTTTTCTGTTCCCCAAAATGTGGTTCCTGGCTAGTGCTGGCCCACTTCAAGATCAAACCTGTCCACATCTGTTGAGATCATCCCAAGTCAGGAACGCGGCACGTTCCCCAACGACCCTGATGCTGTACAGTAGAAGTTGTGGAGACTGTGCTTGTGGAAACCAATTGCTGCTTTTCTCCTTTTTCCGTCTGGAAGTTTCACGATTGGAAGAGACTCCCAAAGTTCCCCACTTTGTCAGTTCAATTGAGGGATGGATATCCACTTGTAGAAATCTAGATACAGGTCGATCGTGGCAAGGACCAATCTCTTACGACTGAACAGTGAGGGGCTGTCACTCTTTATTACTCGTACTCTCCCTTCATCTGATCTTGTATCTTTTCATTCAATAAACTCTCTTTTTCGGTCCTGGTTGAAAATCTAGTTCTCGGCGTTCTGACATTTACATATACACTCTGCTCGCTTGCGTCAAGTCGAGATCCAGGCATCATGGCGGAAAACAGAGGACCACAAGTCCAGGGCGTCGCGATCCTCTTCATGATTCTAGCATGGACATTCGTTGGGTTGAGATGCTATGTGAGGGCAGTTATGATCAAAGGGTTTGGAATGGATGACTGGCTAGCCGTGATCTCACTGGTATGTCTTCTATGTCGTCTGGATTTTAGCGAATTTTGCTGCTATCGTACGGTTTGAAATTTGATCCGAGTGGGCAATAAACTTTTTGATCTGCCCTACGCCGATGATGTTGCGAATGTCTTGACCAGTTACCCGGCCCTCGGAATCTGGCCCACATAACTGACTTTTAACCCTAACACAGATCTTCTTCACCATTTATTGCACGTTTGTATCTTTGGGAGTAGGTTTTGCATTCGAAGAAATTCCGTGTAGTGTATTGTGCTAATAACAAAACAGGTCAGTAAAGGAACAGGACAACATTTGGTCGACCTGCCGCCAGAAAATATTCCCATCGCTGTAAAGGCAAGTCCCACGCCCATTTCTCTCGTACCGAACATATCCTCATCTCAAAATAGTGGTGGTGGTGTTGCGAGCTTTCCTATGTCGCATCAACAGCTTTCCTCAAAGTTTCTATCGCGATTTTCCTAGCGAGAATATGTGTGGCTAAGCCTCAACGTATTGCAATATGGGTGGTAGGTGTATCAACTGCATTGTACAGTATCTTTTACTTTTTTGTGATTGTCTTTCAGTGTAACCCGGCACCATACTTTTGGACCCAATACCTTGGGGCCCAGGGGACATGCCTTCCTTCCAGCTGGATCACAATAACCACGTACACACATGGAGCCGTTTCTGTCGTGTCTGATGTTAGTAGAATTATTTTCCAACCCCTTTAAGGAGGCAAATTTATTGCTCAAGGAAACTAACTTGATGTAGTGGACATTGGGCATCCTCCCAGTCTTCCTCCTCTGGGACCTCCAAATGAATGTTAGAACCAAAATCATGGTTGGATTGATTCTAAGTTTGGGTGCTGTGTAAGCAAGGAACATTCCATTCAGATATCAAAAGCTAACACTTTATAGTGGTTCAGTTTCAACAATCGTTCGATTGCCATACATCCAACAACTAGGGCTCAAGGACTTTTTATACGCAACCACTGACGTGTAAGCCTTCAATATCCCTTGATTGTCACCAATCCAAGTTTTCACTCCCTCATACATAACGATACTTGAAGTAAGAACTATACTAACGGGCCTTTTCTACAGAGCAATCTGGTCAACAGTTGAACCGGGGATAGGCTTAACCGCCTCTTCCATGGCCACTCTCCGCCCCCTGTTCGCCGACTTTTTCTCCCGCAGCAAACTCTTTGGAGGCACAACACCTGCTGGCACCCTAGGACGAACTACAGGGCAGTGGGCGGGAAAACCTCGCGAACATCAACACATCCACAGTGGTTCCACGACCGGCCTGACAAGCAGTAGCAAAGACGATGACGACGTAGAACTAGGCTACAAGCTTCGCAGCGATATCAAAGACTCTAAGAATTTGGGCATGACAACCACCGTGATCGCCAGTCGAGAAGATGCGGAACTAAAGAGAGACAAAAGTGGCAATAAAAGATGGACTAAGAGTGCTTCGAGTCGAGCCAGCGAGGAGAATGGACGACTTGGGAGCAGGGGTGGCTTAAGCGATAATATGTTGGAACCGGTTCCTACTAATAATATGCCCGGTCAGGGATGGGGTATTACTAAGACCATGAGTGTACGAATTGGTGATGAGAGAAACGGGAGTTCAAAAAGTGGAAGGGGCGGGGGCTTCATGTAGGTGGGTTGAAAGGAAGCTGCGTTGTACAAAATGAAATCCTAATGTTCGTATATAGGACTGGAGGGGAGCTGAACTGAGCTGGATATCAGTGAGACTTTTTCCTTTCGATAGATGTTTTATCTTGTAATTTTTAATTTATTGAGGCGCTGGTGCAGCATGTATTGCAACCTTCTCTCACAGATTCGAGGCTCGGAAGACACTGATTGGATTCCTGAGAGCTATGAGAGGTGAATTCAGTGAAGTGCCGCTGCGACCTCTGTCTTTTGGAATCTGAGATTAGTTGCAGAGTTGTCGAAGTCCTCTTGGTTGCCAAAACACTCGGGATACATTGGTCGGTCTCATAGTTCCCTTGTCCAACGGTTGCAATTCAAGATTACATGTATCCTGGTGATTGTGGTCATATCATAAGAAATTCGCTTATCAATTGAGCCCCAAATGCGGGGTGAAAAGGGGGGATTCTTAAGCGAGGGTCGTTTAGTAATATAGTAGGGGTGCAAGCTAATGCAAAACATGAAGTCTTGAGCTTCCAAAAGAGAAGCCAGATGGATCGAATATTGTCTCACTTCAAATACGGATAAATTTGTTATTTTGTTTTTCTCATCTGCAAGTCATCAAGTCACCTGAGCGGGGAAACCTTGCAGAACTGCATTTTCATTCGTGGTAAATCTTCTGCACGGCGTCGCCAATGCTCCTCGTATGAGAAATTCAGGTACCCGAATAATCCTGGACAATTCGAAAAATGAGTGTGGCTCTTAAGCTATATGTAGATATTACTTCTCTGGTTTATTCAGGTTTCGTCCTCAGTAGACTAGTCTAGTCCACAGAATTATCTGAGGATGGGGTTATCAAGACAAATTGGAGTTTTCCTGCTACTTGGGAGCTCCTTAGTTTCCTCTAAACAACTATGGACCGATACTCCAGCGCTATACGAAGGGGTTCTTCGACAAACATACCCCATAGGGAATGGGAAGCTCGCGGCGATTCCTTTCGGAAATCCAGGGAGTGAAACACTTTCACTCAATCTAGATTCCCTATGGACCGGCGGACCTTTCGAATCGGATAGCTATACAGGCGGAAATCCTCAAACAGAGGTTCATTCTGCTCTTCCTGGAATCAGGGAATGGATCTTTCAAAATAGCACTGGAAACGTCTCGGGGCTGCTCGGTACGGGCGATAATTATGGGCATTTCTTTCCATTGGGAAATTTGACTGTCACCTTGGAAAGTATTATATCCACGACTGGTTATGTTCGCGCACTCGACTTGGACACGGGTATTCATTCGACGAATTATACTGCGAATGATGGCCAATTTTACGCCACGTCTGCTTTCTGTTCTCAACCAGATAATGTATGCGTCTACACTCTATCAACAAGAAATGGAACGCTCCCGAACATTTCCATCACTCTTCAAAATCTGCTTGCCGACTCAACTGTGCAGGTCAGTAGTTGCGGACCAAATTACGTTCGAGTGGCGGGGAATCTGCAAGCTGGACCACCGCTAGGGATGAGATACAATACTATTGCTCGCATCATATCCAACTCAACTCTTAATTTCTGCGAGTCAGCTGGTGTTGGAACAATGGTGATTCCTGCATCTGCCGCTGTGTCAAGTGTCAGTCTCGTCATTGGAGCGGAATCAAACTACGACCAAACTAAAGGCAATGCTGCTAGTAACTACACATTCAAAGGGGCCGACCCAAAGGCAGCGGTTGAGAGAATCACATTCGAAGCTGCATTCAAAGCACCAAATACTTTGCTTGAAGCCCATATCGCGGATTATACTTCGCTTACCCAATTGTTCACTTTGGATTTACCAGATACAAAAAATTCCTCTCTCTTATCAACCCCATCTATTCTTTCACGATACACAACAAGTAGTGACGATCCATACCTGGACTCCTTATTATTTGACTATGGTCGTCATCTATTCATCTCCTCGGCCCGAGCTAACGCTTTACCGACAAATCTCCTAGGAAAGTGGTCAGAAAAGCAAGACGCTCCTTGGAGTGCGGATTATCATGCAAATATCAATATCCAGATGAATTACTGGTTTGCTGATCAAGTTGGTCTCGGGTCTTTACAAGACGGGCTTTGGGACTATATCCAGAATACATGGGTACCACGCGGTTCGGAGACTGCGAAACTGCTTTACGATGCGCCGGGCTGGGTAGTTCATGATGAGATGAATATCTTTGGCTACACGGGTATGAAAGAGGGAGCTGAATGGGCGAATTATCCGGTTGCCGCTGCTTGGTTGATGCAACATGTAAGTAATCATATTCATAAATGTGATCTTTTGTCTTGGGAAGCTGTACTTATAGTTTTTAGGTCTGGGATCATTACGAACATTCTCAAAATATCACATGGTACCAAGAACAAGGCTATCCTTTGATAAAAGGAGTTGCCGAGTTCTGGCTCTCTCAGCTCCAAGAAGACGTCTATACTCATGATGGTTCCTTAGTAGTCAATCCCTGCAATAGTCCAGAACATGGCCCTACTACTTTCGCATGTACTCATTACCAGCAATTAATATACCAAGTCCTCACGTACATAGATTTGACAGCAAAAGATCCTTTACTTGCATTCGATCCAGATGAAGAGTTCATGTCTAACGTCGCAACAGCTCTTGCGACAATTGACAAGGGTCTCCATATCAACAGCCTCAACGAAATCAAAGAATGGAAGCTCCCAATGAGTTCCGGATACGAGTTTCAAAATGACACTCATAGACATCTCTCACATCTCTACGGTTGGTATCCAGGGTATTCAATCGCATCCTTCCAAAACGGGTACACAGATCCAACAGTCCAAGAAGCGGTAGCAAACTCCCTCTGGTCACGAGGTATCGGTGGGGAACCGAATGATAACGAAGCAAATTGTGGATGGAGGAAGGTATGGAGGTCCGCGTGCTGGGCAAGATTGAACGAAACCGAACGTGCGTATTATGCACTTCGGTACTATATTCAAGAGAATGTTGCGGACAATGGGTTGAGTATGTACAGCGGACATGATGAGCCATTTCAGATTGATGCGAACTTCGGGTACCTTGGTGCGGTACTGAGTATGTTGGTTGTTGATATGCCTATCAATACGGTAGCAAGTTGTCGACCCGTGATTCTTGGTCCTGCTATCCCATCGGCCTGGGCTGGAGGTAAAGTCAGTGGGCTGGTATTGAGAGGTGGTGGGAAGGTCGGCTTTAGTTGGGACGAAGAAGGAATTGTCCACTCGGTTTCATCGTTTGAGGGGCTAAAAGGGGTAAGAATCTTCAATAAGAACGGAGATGTCCTACATGACTGTTAGTAATGAATAGTCGTTTGTGCACTACCACTGGGTCTCCTCAATCACAAGTCTGCATTTTTAGGCAAAATTTGAAGTCACCATAACTACTTGTTGATCAACTACGCAAACTAAATCTCATGCAAGTCAATTTCACAGTCTGCTACCAACTTTTTCAAGGCCAACAACCTCCTCGCTTAGTTTCCACAATTTCTCGGCAGCCCCTTTATCTACTGCCCACCTCGAAGGGTTCTTGATGGTGCAATCATCAAGATATATGCCCATATCATCTAAAGTATAATATATCAGATTTCAGATCTGACTGGACTTCACGCATTGATTCAATCATGGGGGTAACACTTACGTTTCAAAAATGGACAAAGAGCCGCAAACAACAACGTCGCAACCCCTTGATCATGGGTCTTCCAATCCTTGATATTCTTCAAGTTTGCCTTTGCCTGTTTATCAATACCACGAGGAAGATCCGTCATAATGTCTATTATATAGCCTATCAGTACAATATCTCAAAATTATAAGAGCGATCGAGGAAAAAGGAGCCATACTTCCAGGATTAACCGTCCAAACCTCAAACCCTCTCCCATCCAATTTCTCCCTCAGCCCAACAACCATCAACAAATTCGCACATTTACTCATCCCATAAGCAATCATAGGTTCATACCTCCCATCACGCCTCAGAATACCCACCGGTAACCCCTTTCTCGGCTCTTCCTCCTCAGGAATAACCGTTTCGGGTTCCTGATTCAAATCTGAAAACCGAATTGGAGAGAGCCGATGGGCTTCGGAACAGGTATTAATGATTCTACTTTGGTAGCCTGAAGTTCCAGAGGGCATAAGATATGGAATCAGAAGATTAGTAAAGAGGAAAGGACCGAGATGGTTTGTTGCGAATTGCAACTCCATATTCCCGCCTTCAGAGGCGAGATGTCTTTTTGAGATGTTGATACCCGCATTGTTGAATAGAACATGAATACCCTGGTTTTCCCTTTTTAAGACTTCTTCAATCTCTTTGACTGCTTTTCGTATACTAGGGAATGAGGAGAAATCAACTTGGACGCAAACTATTTTAACGTTTGGATGTACTGCTGAGATTCTGGCTGCAACTGCTTCTATCTTGGTGATTGTACGTGAAGCGAGAATCAGGAGTGCTGGTGAATGCGCAGCTAAGACCGTAGCGAGTTGTGCACCAAGTGAGAGTGGAGATACCCCAGTGATGAGAACTAGTGCAATTAGTTACAACAAATAGGTGAAGATAAACAAGAGAGGGGGGTTGAAAGTTAAAGCAGCAAGTTCAAAGCAGCAAGCCAAGACTTCTTGTTATCATACTAGCTCTGAGGTGAATGACTCTCGTTTATCCTCTATTTTGATACTGTATCTCCAATTCACTTGAATTCGCCAAGGTAAATAACCCCTCATATCTAGGTCATATGAGTAAGTTTGAGTAAGTCAAATTCAACAAAGAACATGTTCATCCAAAGAACATGCACTTCACTTTGGAGCTGGATCACTGCGTCCATTACTCATTCACCCTTATCGCTTAGCACTAGCTTCGTTCAAGTTAAAATGAGGCCTTATAAAATCCCGCAAAATATATAAATTGATTACAAGGAAGAACAATATGGAAACGATAGGCGCAAACAATGTTGGTATAACGAAAGCTAAACGCTCAGCCAAAGCCAAGAAAGCTTTCCAATATCGTCAAAAGATAAAACGGCAATATAAAACACCTGCAGCTCTACTCATACCCAACAAAACACAATTTTGAATTCGCCAGGATACCATTACCCCTCACCCCTCCCAACCACCTACCAACATCATGATCAACCAAACACTCAGCGCTTGCTCAAGCCCAGCCACAAGATATATCATAATTAAAAGCCAAAACAAGAAAAAGACAGACAAGAGTAAATATAAAATAAAACCGACATCTACACAATCCAAAAAAAGGAACAGGGAAAGTAACGCAAACCAACTCACAAGTTCTCCCTCAAATAACCCCTCTATACCGCCCCGCAACCTCGGTACCCGTGCTCTGCGCTCCAAATCCCATCTAGTGTGCCATTCTCTATTACACTCTCCGGATCATTCATAAGATAAGGTACGAGTAGACGCCGAATTGCACCCTTAACCAGAACCTTATCAAGCTAATCGCCGTAGGAAAAATAAGGTTTACCTCGATAACGTTGTGAACTTGTCTCTTGTGAGGATTGTTCTTCGTAGATAAGCATGATCAGCCCCCCCAAAAGAACGGCGTAGTAAAGCCCGATTGGTTATGCATAGAGTACATGTGATAAATTCACAAAGCCCGCTTCACAAGAACAAATGAGAATGCTCCTCCTGCCACCTACTTATCCACGCCTCCCTCCCCGTAGAGACCAAGTAATTTTAGCAACGAACATCATGAGGGAATTCCCCGGTTTGAGCGATAACGGCACCGCCGAGAATCAAAGAAGAGCACACCACCACCACACAACACCAACGCCCTAACATCACATCACATCACATCACATCACCCATAGCGGCAGCCCCATAAAGACAAGACAAGACAAGCTCCAAGCCTCCGACGTCGGAAAACCCCCCATCCATACCCCTCCCCTCCTCTCTTATAATCAGCCCTCCTCTCTTATAATCAGCCCCCCTCTCTCAATCCATAGACATCAGATCAACAAAGTAGAATCAGATGCATGTTTAAACCCGCAATATACTTCGTTTACTTCTTAGGGCAATCATACAGAAACCCCCCACGCCATCCAACCAAACCAACCCCCAAAAAACCATCTAAACGAAATTTACGAAGTACAGTACCTGAACCATAAAAGTTCCCCCTCCCACCATCACACTTCTAGAAGTAAAAGGCAAAAAAGTAAAAAAACTAAAGAATGATCTCATCCACCTAGAAAACCTTCACGGAAGTAACCCTTCGCGAATCCAGACCGAGTTCCGACCACCTTTACTTTCCGCTTTACACCTTATTTACACTTTCCACTTTCTACTTTACACTTTCCATTGGACTACAGTACGGCGGTACATGCTCTGCAGTCTACAACTCCATTCCAGACCAGACCCGGCCAGGCCAGGCCTTCAAAAGAGCTAATTTACCTCCATGTCTGCATCTCGAAAGCTCCAATCCAATCGATTAACTTCCTACCCCTCTCTCCCGCCCCTGCGCCACAAAGCATCAACTAACCGGCAAAAACCCCAAAACTAGTACTGTACTTCTAGAAGTACGAGAACCCCATGCATATGGACCCATAAACTTCATAATTCCCACCAACCACCAACCATCAAATCCGTGCCATCCGTCCTGCCCTGTTAATAGCGCTACGGCAACGAGGACATGTTAGTTTAGTGGCATGTCTATCGACTTACGGGAGCTACACAAGCTACGTACCTCGTAAGTAAGTAAGTTACTTTACTAAGAACCAATTTAGCCATTTCAATCAATTCTCATAATCCATTATTGATTGGTCTGCATATTCATATAGGTATTCCCTTACTGTACTCATACTTCTTTATTCGTTCCTGTGAGCGTTTACCTACCTACCTAACATACCTACCCAATCCAATCAATCTAATCCAATCCAATACACTCCCTTTACCATATATCCAAAATTCGTAACGTGAAATGACATTGACGTGAAACAAAATAAAATTCCATAAGAGTAAATATCCATCATACTCATACCAGACAATAAGACCCAAACCGCACCAGTAGTAACACCAATAACACGAACCCCCAAGAATATCTCTAATCCATTCTACCTCCACACAACAAAAACAAACCAACTTTAAACAAACACCAAATACCCATCTACACCACCCATCTATCCACCCATCCCCAACTCCCCCAACTCCAACTCCACCCACCCCTCTA